CTTATTAGTAGGAATACTACGAATCTGCCGTTGTTGTTACTATGCTATTGCAGCTGTGTTAGTTGCTGATTCTGATTTGGCCATGAACTTTCACACCACGGAGTTTCAGAGATACCCCAGATGGCCCCAGAATCCAGCAGCCAGGCTGTTCGAGCAAACTCTAGGCTTTTGATTTGCCCGTAATGCTCGATGGTCGTTGTCATGATGATGCTCGTTTTCCGGCTCGGGGTATTGTCCGGAGATTGAAAGCCCTGAGCCCCAGATCCCGAACCCCCCTTTCCACCAAGGAGGAACACCATGCGTCCCCCACAACCCGAAACAGCTGAAAAGCCGCAAAAGTGCCGACACCTCTGGTTCTCAAGAGGCGAAGACAACACCGGCCTTCTGCGGTCTCATCGCGGGAAGCCCAGTGCGAGGGCATCGGGGCATCGGGCGATCAGGGCCGCAAGGAAGGATGGCGTTTGTAGGGCCTCTGAAGTTCTTCAACGCCACTGGGACGGTAAACTCCAGACACATGGGGCTTTAGCATGGTTCAGGCTAATCGACTTGGCTTCAAAGCCCCGAAGAAGCGCAAACTTCGGGCAGTGGAGCCTACCCCCTGAAGCCTAAGCTGTCATGGCCCAACTTTCTACGCTTGCAGCCTCCCGTACTACATCCTAAGCCCCAACGGCCCGAAGCTAGAAAACGCTTGGACGCCTCTCGAGCCCGAACTCCTGGGTCGAATGCCCCAAATCCGGAGCCGAAGCCCCTGGGCCTCTGGGAGGGCTTGCGGCTTCAAGACAGGGGTCGGAACTTAGATGGTACGAGTGTCCCGCACTGAGCGACTCCGTCCAATTCGGAAAGGATCACTGTTGCAACGAGAGGAGCGCCCCTTCTGAATTTCAGTTAAGATCCGACTGGTGGGCAGTATGTTTTTTTGGGCCGTTCTTTGCTACAGAGAGTGCCGGTTTTTGAGTTCCTCAGCCTTGGGAGTCTTTCGGAAGTCTCCTTCCGCCAGCTCTCTGAGGCTTTTGCCTTGGCAGTGCGGACCCTCGGAGTTCCCCAGAGAGTCGGATACCCCGCTTAGGACGAACTCGGGAAATCAGACTCTGAAAGCCGCAGGTAGCTTCAGAAGACTTCTTTGTTGCCGTTACTGGGCTTTTGTTAGACACCCGAAGGTCCTGAAACATACACGAGTCCTGAGCGGAGCTCATCATACACGAGGGTGCTTTGATGGGAGAGTGGAAGGCTTTGTGGATGAGGCTTTCAGGAGTCGGAGATATTAAGAGATTGCAGGATGACATGTCGAGTTGATTCTCAGAGGACTTCCCATGTTGTCTTTGATGGGGCTTTTAAACAACACTGCCGTAAAGACATGTATGGCACCTTCCCTGAAAAGCAGACTCTGTGGCGAGGGTATAAAGGTGCTTAAAAAACAGACAAGACAAAAGTGGCAAGACACAGCACCGTGTAGCAACAGACAAGAATGTCCGAGCGCGTGGTTGCTCTTCTGAGTAGCATTGCGCATCCAGCGTATGCCGCGAGGCATTGAGCTTGGCGGTTCCGGGCCAAAACCTGAACCCGGCATAAATCTCTGTGAGCATTACTGCTCAGGCCAAAACCCCAAAGCTTGAGGCCTGCAGAACCCTTCAGCCTCGATCTTCAGATCAAGTTTAGGCAGGGTTTTGGATGTTTTGAAGGCCCGGCGAGTCATACGAGATCAGGGCCTAGGCAAGCAAAGTGCCCAAGCACCCAGAGAAGAACGCCCAAAAAGCGCGCCCGCCTGCAGAAAGCCCGTGAGTCGAAAGAAAGGCCGTGCTCTTCCTCGTCTTGGATGAGCTGCTGCTGGAGGCGCCCCGCCACGAAGCCAATCGCCTTTCCGTCGAAGTTCTTAGAGTCGACTTTTGCACCGGCTTTGGGCTGCCCAGGTTTTTTTTGTTGCGGCCTATTTACGGAGCCCTGAACCGTGCTATAAACTCTAGGGCTGAGCTAAACCTCAATGAGGTTTGAAGCAAGGAGCCAACCTTTCATACGGGTCCTACTGGTACCAGAGACGCTTGCTTGGAACACCATAAGGCCTCATCGTCATTCTCACCAGTCATGGACACTTATTCTTGCCAACAGAACCCTTCGACACATCAGTTGAGTCTTTAGGATACTAGAAGCCCACTTGGAATGACTTGGGGCCCCCCAGGTTGTGTCACAGGGGAAGGGGGGGGTCTCGGTCTGGGCTCACGAATATTCGAAGCCTGAGTGCAGGCGCACGAGAAGGAGGAGAGCGAGGCCCGGGAGAGAAGCGACTTGCACTGGGAATCCATGTAATATAATGTAAGATAATGAGATAACATGTCATATAATGTAATATAATGTAATACATTGTAATATAATGTAATATAGTGTAATAACATGTAATATAATGTAATATAGTTTAGTAAGATATAGTATAAGATATAAAAACAAGTATGGGGTTGGGCGGCTCAGTTCGTAGCGTTGCCACGGCAAGGCAAGGAGTCTACTACGGATTGGGGGCCTTGCTAGGTCGACATGCCCAGAGAGCCCAATACCCCTTAATTAAGGAATACACCTTAAATTAGGAGCGTTAATCGTCGGATTTAAGGTATCTTCCTTAATTAAGGCGTATTGGGTTCTCTGGGTAGTACATTCTCTAGCTTCCCTGACCGCATCTTCGCCACTCTTCTCAGCTCTCGGGTCGCATAGGGTTTGGGGTTTGGGGTTTAGGGCTCCCGATTCCTCGGCATGATCTATCAAGCCCGTTCTCGACGAGCCATCAACGTCTGCGGTTTCCGGAAGTATGATTGCACGGATTCTGGTTTCGTATTTAAGGCTGCGAGTTGATAATGCTGCTTTAGCACAGTTCAGGCTTCTTGTTCATTTGCACCTGTGTGGGTCGCCTTGGGATGCAGAGTTGTGGGTCTGAAGGGGCGTGCGGCGTGGGGTGAAACCCTTAGGCCTTAGGCCCTAAGCATTGCCAAGCTTTTGAGTCCCATACCTTCAAGTCCACAGTCCGTAAGTTCAAGATCCAAGATTGAATTCCGTGGCTATGGGCCACGTGGAACAGCTCCCGGCCCAGACCCATGCCGGACCCTCGTTCCCTACAGCTTGAACGCAAAACCTAGGCAACCCCGTACTCCGTAGATCTCGACTCTTGCCTCTTTTCATGCCAGGGCTGGTCCGTCTCTGTATTTCTCTACTGCGGCCTTCTTCTGAGCATTGGCTGCGATGTTCTGCTGTGATTCAAGGTGTAATTAGAGTAGACGATTCAACTTGTAGGATCTGCAACGGAGATACGTCCTTCGACTCTGGGGCTTCAGGGCCAGAATCCGGTTACAGCCCCCAACCCTACACCGAAGTTGGGGGTGTAGTCCGACACCTCCTTTCACGGTTGCTGCGCTGTCCGGGCTTTAATCTTCCCGGTGGTCTACGTAGGGAATGAAGCAAACCGTGAGATGACATACCTCTCGCTTCCGAGTTCTCTGATTGGATCTCACTTTCGTAAGCCCCAAGCTGCCCGAAACTCAGAGCCTCAGAGGTCGCCGCAAGCCCCGAACCCTAGGCACCTGAAGTCAACCCATCCGCCGCGATGTTCGCTTCATTCCCGAGACTCCATGGATTTTCCATTTCGGAAGCTTCCAAGGAAGGGTTCTCGATGACCTGGGATGTTGTGTTATGTGACGTTGACGGAGTTTGGAGCATCTTATGCTGCATGAGGCGATGTCAGGTTATGGTCTGTAACAATGCCGCACAGGTTCTACTCTCAAGTCAAGGTTTATGTTTAAACGGCTTATGGCTGCATGTGGGATTCTACACGTATTGCACTGAAGTCATGTTCCGTTTGTATTGGCTCAAACGACTGCATCTCGACAGCACGAACGCATGGGTATAGAGTCTACGACAAGTCTTCGCTTCTTGGGTTTGGTGATAGAAGCACCTCAGCGAAACCTCCACAGCCCGGAAATCCCGGCACTGACACAATCGCCGCCCGACGAACGCAGACTGTGCGTCTTGCAGCCCGAGTAATTTGAGGGCCAGTTGCTGAGGCGAGACGTAGTGTTGAGGTTCTATGTAGTTCTTCCCAGGATTCGGAAGCTTCCAACTGTCCTGGATGGTCGTGCCCAAGACACAGACAGATGGTTTAAGCCCCTGCGGAGAAAATGGAGCCATTGCCCGAACCCCAAACCCAGCTTAGGACGAAGGGATAAACGACACACTTATGTTCCCTCCATCATGGGACGAAGGGATAAACGACACATTTATGTGCCCTTCATCACTATCCTACCTTTACCCCACTTGCCCAGGGTTTCCGGTCCATTCTGCCAATCGGATGGTTATTCTTTCTGTTCCTCCCTGCAAAGATCCTCAAACCGCAGCCGGGTCTTCAACCGCTCGGCTTCGGGGTTGGGCACTTGGGGAACGATCACCCTTGCTCACACCTCCCCTTGCGTCCTACTCGTACTGAAGCATTTCATTCCGGTCGGCAGCAGCCGCCGCACCTTAACGATGTGCGCTGGACTTTCAGCCTCACGACCCGGACTCAACACCTCAAGCCTCAAGCCTACGTCCTAAGCCTTACTGCCTAGACCCTCCAACGCAGCAAAATCGAGCTTCAAGCCGTGAGATCCCAAGCCTTTGGCTCGCAAGCACCAACTCTCCATTCCCCAAGTCTGAAGCCCTTGGAATACATTGGTTCCGTGTCTCGAAGGCTCCGGGTCATGTTCTGAGCCCTGTGGGTTTGGGGATGAGGCCGCGATCTCCTAAGACAGAGACCGGTTTGGACATCGAAGCCTCGAGCCTCAAACTTCCCAAGCTTGGCGGAGCTTTCTCTGCGCCGTTACTGACAGCCGTTGCCTGCCTCAAGCATCTTCCGTCGAGCGGACTGCACCAAAAGTGGGAAGCTTCAGGAGACAAAGGACCGCAAAATAAACAACTTGCTATCCGGACCTCCTGACATGGTACCCTAAATCATCATAAGAGGAGAAGCCGACGGATCGGCTGTTCTGTTCATGGCAAGTCGCCATGCACTTGTCCGGCGCATGCCTCGGCAGATCTGCTTCCTTGGGGCTCTGGCTCGGGCTGCCGAGTTGAGCCCAGCAGAGAGCCTCCTGTGCCAGAGCTGCTCGGGCCTGGTTTCGGGTCTCCGATCTTTTTTCTTTTTGGGAGTTGAAGGGTTTTAGGGTTTAGCGTTTAGGGTTTAGGGTTTAGGTTGAAAAGCTTCAAGGCTCACACTTGTCCCCACGCCCCAAGCAACCCGAATCGCGCGGAGAAGACTTTCCCAGGCCTTGAGCCCCAGAAAAGCCCAGAGGAGCCCCGAGGATCACCCCTATGGGAGTTTCCGAAAATAGGGGACCCTAATTATAGTACCCTAGATAATAGGATCCTTATTATAAGGACCCCAAAATAAGGTACCCCTATCCTGAGACCTGTACTTGGGGTAGCTCTCTAGATTAGGTCCCTTTTTAGGGTTCCTTAAAGGGATCTGTAGGGGTTTCTATAGGGGTACTATAAGGGCTCTATATGGGCAGTTCTCTAAATTAGGGTCATATTTTCGGTCCCCAATATCGTACGGCACCATTATAAAAAAGGACCCTAAAAGGGACCCTAATTTAAAGCCCCAAGATCCTCAAAAAGCGCTTCAACCCCATGCAGCTTTCAGAGCCGGGAAGCTGCCGGAAGCGTTAAAAGCCTCGCATGGGCTCCGTGAGATCTCGCAGGGATTGCTCCGAGTTTAGGCTGAAGATCTGCAACCGGCCCTTTGTGCTTCGGGGTTTCGTAGATAGGACGTGCGCGGTTGTGTGTCGGGGGTTTGCAGTGAGGGCCGTCGGGGCTCCCGGGGCCTCCGTAGGAGCCGAGAGCCGAGCTGACGCCGTCGTAGGTTTCTTTTGGAGCTCGAGTAGTGTCCCCGTAGAGAGGTCCCACGAAGCTTCAGGCCCCGGGGGACCGGGAAGGTCTCCACCTGAACTTCGAGCGCTGGACGCAGGCAGCTGGGCGCATCAGCGAGCCTCGTCCCTGGTTTTACCGCGCGACACCGCGGCAGCATTGCCAGGATGTGGATGACACCGTCAACCACGCGTTTTTCGAGGCGACGTCCGTGGGCGAGTTTTTGCACGATCTTGAGAATTCAGCAGGCTATGGCATGCTGAGTGAGGGCAGGCAGCTCCAAGCAGATCTGAGCAGCCTCGTGGCAGAGCTGCGACCAGCATCGACGGTAAGCCAAGTGAAGCTCGCCGACCTCCCGGCAAAGGTGATGTTGCAGTTTGACTCCCCGAGCTTGGGATCGGGAAGCATTGCCATCTCCTCCGACGTACAGGAGTATCGAGCGGACATGAACTGCCCAGACTCGATCTCTGCAATCCGGACCGTGGAGAACTGGTATCTCCCCCACGGCTTCGAGGTGATCTACCCTCTCTCGCAGCCCCCGATCTCCAGGGGCTCCCTTCGAAAACTCCGGGTTTTGCCTTGGGCCCCGCGACTGGTGGGCTGCCAGCCAAGGCTCTGGTATCGCAGCCTCCGCCCCGAAGAGGCCCCCAACGTGTCCACTCACCAGGAGGTCTGCAAGTGCCTGGTAAGGGCCAGGAACAGAACAAACGTCTTCTCAGGTGCAGGGATTGCCGACTCAGATGTGGAACTCTTTCTCAGGCTTCGCACTCTTGCGTTCTTGACCAAAGGCGGAGGCAGCGTCCCGGTGCACGCTTTCGTCATCGGCAACTCCTTCGGCTTCTCTGCGCTCCTGCTGGGACTGCTCTTTGCGAAGTCCGGACCGTCCGCCTCTGGTTCCGTCGGTTCCGTGGATGTCCTGGACGAGGAGCCGGACGCCTGCACGCGCACAGGGGGGTGGCTGACGCGGCAGATTGCACGGACCCACAACCTGAACGTCTCCTTGACAAGGGGAACATCGCCCGAAGACGTGCCGAAAGCCACGCGGAGAGGGACGCGGACCGGGCGGACTTACGACCTGGCCTTCATTGATGGAGGCCACAGCACTTCACAGTTGCAAAAGGACTTCGAGGCAGTTAAGCCTTTTTTGGCACAGCGCACCCTGGTCGTCCTGCACGATGTCGTCCTCTATGGAATGTACGATTTCGTCCTGGGATACTTCAAGCAGCCGTGGAGGATACATCTGGTAAGGGGCTGCGCTTACAAGAACATCTGTGGCACCGTGCTGCTGCACCGCGACTTCCCAGAGGATGCCTTTGAGTCGCTGTAGCAGGCCTGCGCGGTCAGAGTTTGCTTAGTATGTACATATCTGTGTGCGTATATGCGTATATACGGCATGATGTTTGTGACTAGTGACTAGGCTCGAAGCAGTGTGATTATCCAGAGCAGCAACAAGGTTCCACGACTGGCATTGTGGCTTGTCGGGCTACGCATTTCAGCCCAGGAAAAGCACAACCCCATGACCGCAATACATTGAGGCTCATTTGCAGGAACGCCAGTTCAGAACACCTGCATGTAGCAGCAGCCACATGAGTGTTGACTTCTCCTCCAAACGATAGGCTGGGACGTCCCCAAACTTCTTTCAGCTTCGGGAGAGGTTGGGACAGAGTGGAAAGCTTCATGGTTGCTATGTATAAAGTGCACATCACCATCAAGAGTTAGCAACCAAAGCTAGTGCACCACTCAGCAGCACCAACACGAGTATTGCCACCACCAAAAGCAGCAGAAGTACCACTACCAACAACAACAATGCCAGCAGCACCAACAAGAGGAGTTGCGATCAAAGGCAGTAGCAACAAACGAGAAGCACGACCAAGAACAGGAGCAACAAGTAGAAGAACAACCAGGACCGGAACAGTAGCAATGGCAGTAACATGCAGTAACAGTAACAGCAGCAAGAGGGAGCACAGCTAGAACAGAAGTAATGCAGAAATTCAGACCGACAGGAAGATTTGAGGTTTATCCCCGCAGCCGCGTATCCTTCGCACCTGTGAGAGGCATGTCAGAGTACACGGAAAGTTGTCGAACCGCAATCAACAAACAACTCGAATCTATCCCTCGGCAAATTGACTGCATCATCGTGAAACTCCGATCCCTAACCCAACACATTGACGCAACCACCCCCTGTCCCCGTCTCCGCACCCCAACCCTCAACCGAGAGTCTGAAACCCCAAACAGTTCAAGTAATCAGCACCTGCTTTCGCGACAACGCCTGCGGTGTCCGCGCGATGCGGCAGTGGCTTGGCCGGATCTGCAGCCACGCAAGCGAGACTGGTCACGGCACTAGCAGGAGCAGTAGGCGTCGTACTGCGGTAGTGGTAATAGTCGTCGCCGTAGTTGTCGTGGCGGCATGGAGTGGCAGTTGTGGTGCTTTTGGGTGGCAGTCGTACTTGATCGTGCTTCTGCTACAATTGCTTCGCTCCCGCACCTGGTGTGGAAGGCATGTTGAATAGCGATTAGTCGCAACATGTCGTTGTTTTCTTTGAGTTCGGACCGTTTTTCTTCTTGTATTGGTGGGCCATCACCATCACCCTCACCGTCACCGTCCTGGTCATTGTCATCGTCACCGCCATCGCCATCGTCATCGTCAGCATCGTCGTCATCATTACCATCATCATCATCATCACCATCGTCGTCATCATCATCACCACTATCCTCATCATCCTACTCCTCATCATGAGCATCATCACTGTTGACCCTGCGCCTTCAGTCCCTCTATGATTTCGGGCTTCGTCCCGTCCCCCAAAGTCCAACCGAGGCGGCGGCCTCTTCAGCAAGAGGTTGGAGGCACTTCGCGATGCGCTGGTTTCGGGTTCAAGGTTTAGGGTTTAGGGCTCCTTCGTGACGGCAGTAGTGCGTACAGTGCTGCAGGCTTGTGTAAGGCTTCAAGCAGGGCTGAAGGTTAAAGGTGTAGGGATGAGGGATGAGGGGTGTTAGAGGGAGCTAAGGTTTAGGAAAGTTTAGGGTTTAGGGTCTGCCTGTAGCCCATGAGGCTCGTCTACGTCGGAGCTCCGACAGTCCAACTTCAGGAGCATTGGTAAAGAAGCAACGGCTAGGCAATATGTTGGCTTCAGTACAGGACCTGTTCAGGTTTAAGGGTTGGGGCTGCAGGGTATAACATTTCGGGTCGTGGGTCTGTCTTCCGGGTTTAGGGTTTAGGCCTCTGGGGTTTAAGGCTTGTCGGGCTTGCGAGTTGCAGGGTCTAGGTTGGGACTTTCAGGTTCCTGTCTCGGCTCCTCCCATCAAGACGAGGCCCGACTAAGCTCCAAAGCCGAAGCACCCAAGACCCGGAGCATCGAGCACTCAAACCCCAAGCAAAATCCGCCACGAATTCACGTAGTTCTCGGACTTCCGTCGGTCGTCCCGGTCCAGGTGATGAGGACGCGGTGGCTGAGCGCCGCCGCCGCGCAAAAGAACAGGAGCAAGAGGCAGGGAGTCAGGGAGGCCTCAGCCTTCGAGCCCAAATTCCCGGCCTTTTCAGTGTGTTAGACTTGATTCCTCAGCCCTACATCCCTTGGATCCTGATTCCTGTATCATGGCTTTGGGGGTACGGGGTGGCGAACATGGGGCCTGCGTTCTGGTCTTCTTTACCGTTCAGGATTTGGGGCTCAGCATCGCAGAAGGAAGTCAGCCAGTAGCGGCGCTTTCCTGAGTCTGCGGTTGCTAGTGGGCTGAGGGTCGGGGGTGTGGGAGTTCTTTGCGTAACACCCTTTGTGGAAACCGCTTACAGCTGCTGGCAGATGGCTCCCTACGTGTTGGGCCTCGTCATCTTCATTGCCGTCGCGGTGACGGGCGGGTTGATGTGGTCCCGGCCTGAGAACTCAAGACTCAAGCCTTCAGGTTTCATGTTTCGGTCTCAGAGACCCTGTTTCAGCTTCAGGGTAATACAAAGGTCCTAGTATACTATAATACACCCCAAGATATTATTCTAGTATTTATGGACCCCATAGTAGCTGCGCCCCTTTGCCTGCAATGTTCTCTTGCTCCATAGAGTTAGTGCAGTTCGTTCGTTCGTTAGTTCGTCAGTTAGTTAATTAAGTGTTGGTTAGATTGGATTAGCTCTTCTGGCTCGTTTGGCTGGTTTAGATAGCTTAAATTAGCACAGCCTGCGACCTGAAACCTTGAGCCCTTACGCGCAATCCTAATCCTAACGAAGCCTCCAGCTTCGCCTGGCCCACGAGCTTACTTTCTTCCCCAAGCCCTACTAAGCGCGAAAGCCGGATCCCGTGACGAGCAGGAAGCATCTTTAAGAACATATTTTATAAGAACCTCCCAAGTGAAGGTGGAACCCGCACATCGAGTTCCACAAAGCCCCGGCCAGCAAAAAGGACATGTCGCGCGATGAGGTCGGGCGCTTTGAGCAGAGGGCTTGTTAGGGTTCAGGGCTTTCGGGTTTAGCTTGTGCTCTCTTTCTTGACACTAAACCCTCCACAGCAACAGAAAACCGCGAGGGTTCAGGGGCGTGATTAGTTTCTGGTTTGTTGAAGGGCTTCGAATGTCAAGGGCCCCGAGTTCACGGCTTGGGCATAAGGGCTTAGGGCTTTAGGCTCTTGGGTCTAGGGGTGCGTTGCTTGCGTAAAGATTAAGGTTAGGGTGTCCTTGTCTTGTAACAGTGGTAGATTAAGAACATAGATTGAGTGGCCACCATCATCCTGCCCAGTGGGCCTGTGGAAGTCCCAATCTTGGCTCCCACTTTCCCCAGATCTAAAACCCCTTCTATGCGTTCCGACGGCACCCACCAGCTTAAGCTGCAAAGGACTCAACTCCCAACCTCGTCGCTGCCCTCGTGTTCGGAATTCGTGGTGGGGCTGTTGCATGTAAAGCCCGCTGAAGCCTCCAAGAGCGACGCCAGGTGTTCGCGCACTTGCAGAACCACACGATTCTACATCTTGGTGGCATGCGGGGAGCTCGGCCAAGGAACAAATGACACAGAGGAAAAGGTACAGCACCTCAAGCCGCTCAGCCATGACACAGCGCTGAAGCCCAAATCGCGAGGATGTGGCGAGAACAGAGCTCACGTGAGTAAATTCCTGGGCTCAGAGGTTGGGGCCTTTGGTTCTCGGGTTCAAGCCCGGAAGCCAGAGCGCCCTTCGCGTTTCATGTTGCAAAGGGTCTGGGGTCAAGCCCAAGCCCAAGCCCTACACGCCAGAACCCCGAAACCCTACACCCTGAGCCAGATTCGGATGTTTCTCTTGTATGAACAGAGCGGTGGGTGTGCGCACAAACATCGGCATCACGTTCGAACCTCCGGGCTCCAGGGCTTTCAACACTACGCCACAAAACCTACAGTCTCAGTGGTCCGTCCAGAAATCATGAATGAGACCCTAAACCGAGAAGGCACTTGTAGCTTTTTTTCCAAGTACAGAAGCCCCAGCAAGTCGAACCCTCCCAAAACTCTTTTTCCATCCCTTGTGCAGCCCGTCTAGGAACTGTTGTGGAAGCCTTGTATATGGCTTGTAAAGCCCTGATAGAAGCCATTGAAGAGGCACTTCACCGGTCTCACTTTGCTGGCCGAAGCCGTGAGTCAAAGTAGCGACGTCGCCGCCGACCCAGCTGTTCAACTGGTTTCGGGGCTTTTGGGGCTTTAAGGTTTTAGTTTATGTTTGACAGTTGGGCTTTCGGATTCATGGTGATTTCGGTTAGGTTCTGCAGGAGGGTTTGTAGGATTTCAGAGCTCCAGGCTTGGGTTCTTAGGCTTAAGTAAGGGACTTGGGCCGTCGGGTGTTTTGCTTGGTGTAGTGTTTAGGGTGTGCGCGTGCTCGCTAGCCTTTTTCTGGCAGGTTCTAGGATTCCACCAAGGGATGTGTAGGTCTCTGTGTTTCGGGTTTAAGTGTTGAGATATCAGGGTTCAGGGTTTGGGGTCGAATAGAGGTCCAGAAGAGCCGAGGGTGCTGCAGCTTTCTGGGTTTGAGATTGAGAGTGTGTGGTTCAGACCTCGAGCTACCATGCAAGCTATGACCCCGATCTCTAGCCAAACAACACCCTAAAACCCCACAAGTCCCTCTGAAAGCCTTCAAAGCCTTCGCAAAAGCAGACAAGAAAGCACTACAAAACCGAAGGCCCTTGAAAGACCCCTTTTCCGCCCACCAGTTCCCACCCCAATAATCGGGGCCTAACCGGTCAGAGCCCAAGGCCGGGATGCGACATCAAGAGGGCTCGGACCGGCGCAAGGCCGGGACAAAAGGGGGGCCGGAGGATGGGTTACTGATTGCACTCTTCCTTATGGAGTCCCTATATGAGAGGGTTGAACTTGGGGTTCTACAGGGCTATCCTGATTGGTAAGGCCTCACACCCTGTAACAGCTCTTCGGCCGGGAACTCTGCTGAAACCAGGGGTACTTTTCATTCATGATTTTTGTCTATCTATACAGAGGTCCAGGGCTTCTAAGCAGTTTCTAAGCTTCTTACTGTCGAGACCCTTAGAATTAGGATGCTTCGCTGAGACTGCCATTGACTCCGACTGGAGGAAGAGGCTTAAAGTTAGGTACACTCTAGTACTATGTTCACCGCATGTAACTTCATGTTATACTGCGGGTCTCTGTCAATGCCATACTACAAGGATTCTTCTGCTTGTAAGTACTACTGATACTGCTTTTGCTTGTATCATTGCTTCAGCACTTCACCTGCTATTCTTGACCAGCTGGTATCTTTACTCCGGGAATGATTGTCATTTTGATTATGGGTATTTTGTATTATGATATGATGTATGATTTACTACAATTGCGAGGGATGAGGCTGCTGTGTCGTGGGCCTGGGTGGACCCTAAAGGATTTCTTCCAAAAATCCTTCCGCCCACCAGGTGGCACCTTCAGTCCCACCCGGTGGGACCTGAAGGATCTCCAAAAATCCTTCAGCCCCCAGGTGGCACCTTTCATCCCACCCGGTGGGACCTGAAGGATCTCCCAAAATCCTTCAGCCCACGTAGGTGGCACCTTCAGCCCCACATGGTGGGACTTGAAGGATCTCCAAAAATCCTTCAGCCCACCAGGTGGCACCTTTCATCCCACCCGGTGGGACCTGAAGGATCTCCAAAAATCCTTCAGCCCAGTAGGTGGCACCTTCAGCCCCACATGGTGGGACCTGAAGGATCTCCAAAAATCCTTCAGCCCACCAGGTGGCACCTTTCATCCCACCCGGTGGCCTTCAGCCCAGTAGGTGGCACCTTCAGCCCCACATGGTGGGACCTGAAGGATCTCCAAAAATCCTTCAGCCCACCAGGTGGCACCTTTCGCCCCACATGGTGGGACCTGAAGGATCTCCAAAAATCCTTCAGCCCACCAGGTGGCACCTTTCATCCCCACATGGTGGGACCTGAAGGATCTCCAAAAATCCTTCAGCCCAGAAGGTGGCACCTTCAGCCCCACATGGTGGGACCTGAAGGATTTTCAAAAATCCTTCAGCCCAGAAGGTGGCACCTTCAGCCCCACATGGTGGGACCTGAAGGATCTCCAAAAATCCTTCAGCCCACCAGGTGGCACCTTTCATCCCACCGCCCACCAGGTGGCACCTTTCATCCCACCCGGTGGGACCTGAAGGATCTCCAAAAATCCTTCAGCCCAGTAGATGGCACGTTCAGCCCCACATGGTGGGACCTGAA